ACGCTGGTGGCGGAGCTGGGCGCGGCCGGCGGCGTGCGCCTGCGCGCGGCGGCGCTGCGCTGCGGCGGCTGCACGCTGCTGGAGTTCCGCCGCACGCGCGGCTGCGGGCTGCAGTTCAAGCGCCGCTTCGTGGAGCTGCGGGACGCGCTGCAACACCTGCACGCGCCGGCCCCCGACCCGCACTAGACCTCGACCCGCACTAGACCTCGACCCGCACTAGACCTCGACGCTTACTGGACCCTCGGTAGCAGCGGCGCAATCCACCGACGATCCGACGACTCTCTAATTAGTATGTAATGATTATTAAAACGAGTGTTCATCATATAGACTGAATAAACTAAGACCATAACATAGTTTAAGTAAAAAAATCATTGAATTAATTAAATAATGTGCTATCAGCAACATTCGTGTCATGACCAAGAATATTGTTAATCATAAAATATACGCTAATTTTCTAATGTTGCATTCATTTACAAACTGAGACTGGGACTGAGAACACTATCATCTTTTTAAGAGCTTCGTAGCCAAGTGGCAAATATCGGCAATCATAATCTAGAAATGTACTTCAGTGAGTGTGATCCGTAACATTTTGTTCCTCTAGCAACAATATTGCCGACGGATGCTGGCGAGTGAATCATGCATAGACAGACGATACTGTATAACTAGATCCTCACTGATTTCCAACATGATGACATTATGTCGCGTGCAGTGTTACCAAGTGCATACGAGGTTTTTAGATGCGCTTTGGGTACATTAGAGTAAATTTCGTTACGTTTAAATAAATTGTTCATAAATTCATAAAATATTGTTTTGGTGGCAAGAAAAGCACACAGTCCACCTGAAGGTAAGTGGTTGCTGTGGCCTTGAACGCTTGCAACACATGGGACATTACATGCGCCTTGCCGAACTTTATAAACCTGTTTACTTCTTCCTTGAAGAACCCCATATTGTTGGAGCAATGAGGTGCCGGTATGCCGTTGGGCCCGCTCGACTTATGAACGTCAAGACGAGATGTTAACCTCCGCCATTATGTGACCGCAATGCGAGATGGTAGGTGGTACGGTGCTTTCGTCGACGTTCAATATCTAGTTTTAGGCAAAAAGAGTACCTAACAGATCGGCTTGCTCTTTTGAATTGTGAGCCAGGTTTCCATCGGCATTTTGCAGTTCCGGTAAGGACAACTAACGGAAGTTACCTTCAGCGGCTTTGGCGACTAACCAGAAGGCACGAGATCCACAAGGATAGCCTGCTAGCTTCTCGCTTATTTTGCTGAAGAAATTAATTTAGTGGACCTCAAGCAGCATTAAGTTCGCGTTTCACGGCAGAAATATTAGGACTGCGAGCCACGGTCTAAGCCCTGAATGCGGCTTGCTTGAGTTGTCTAGCAGTTTTGCAGGACCTATCAAGCCATGGTCGTTTCTTTGTTCCTGTAGCGACAGCAACTGCGCAGGTGTCGGGATCCTCTGATGTGAAGCAAAGCTGCCTCCACAGGTACGATGCGTCTGCCACATGTGCCGTAAGCTAGTTAGTCGAGGTGGATTCAGGAGTGCTCATGGTGCTATAGTCCGGATAAGACAGTGGTCGGAAGATCCGGGTAGTGCATCCACTGATATGGAATATCCTTCTCAATAACTATACGATAATTATATATCTTTGGTGATCGCGCGGGATCATCTCCGGCCACCGTAAGCGCGGGCTTGCGGACGGCGAGCATTGGTGGCTCACCGTCCGACCAGAACCAGACCCGAGCGTGCGGCGCGTCGCGAGCCGGAGCCCCGGTAACCCGTTAGGTTCTCCGCGACTAGGTAACGTACTTAGGTTTGGGATAATCTTCTGGAGTTATTATTTCACACACAAAGATATAGTGTTCAAACAACAAAAACCGTTGCATAAGAGCTATGTTCGGAATGAAAAGTATGGACAGTTGTAAGCTGCTAGTTAGTAAACACAATTAACGCTTCGTTTTATACACAGGTACTTACTTGAAGTTGCATTATTTGTTAGAAACAACTGACATATTTTGTTTCCGCGTTTATTCGAATATCACGGCAGAAATCGACGTAAAAATAACATACGCTAATATAAGTTTGTCGTAAGTTGGGTTGCCCGCAGTGGACACGCTGTAACTGTGGGGCCGATGTCGAATATAGTTTGAACCTAGGTATAATATGTGAGTTTGTTACTCAGTCCAAAGCTGGGAGACGACTGGCGTGCTAACGCTATAGGGTCGCAGGCGCAGCTACGCACTTGAGAACACAAAAAATGTCAACACGTTAGTGTCGCTACAACATCAAAACGACTGGAGAGGCCGGGATAATAATTTGTGTCCCTTCGTCCAGCATACTCACCATGGAATCCTGATATTTCATGAATGTCAAAAAACTGTTCTGAAATAGTGCTAAATAGTGCCCAAAGGAAAAAAATAGTGCTCTTGTACTTGCGAAGTTATAGCCATAGTTCGATGAGTATGCTGGACGAAGGTTTCGCCCAGCATACTCACCTCCGTCCGGAGAATCTGTATACGCTTCAAACATAATTCATACTTCAAAAAATAGTTCCCAAATAGTGCCAAACGGTGCCCAAAAAGAAAAAACAGTGCTCGAATAACTTCGGAGTTATAGGCTTCGTTCAGTGAGTATGCTGGGCGTAGGTTCTACGCCCAGCATACTCACCTCAGTGCGCGAATATCGAACGAGCTATAGGTACAATTTACGTCTCAAAAAATTGTGCTTGAAATAGTGCCCAATATCAGTCCAATTTTTGCTTGACTTTTGAC